AAAAAAAACAAAGAGAAAAAAAAAACATCTTTCTTTTTTTAATTTATTAAACAATAAAATATCGTGCTCGTTTTGGGTTCCCATTTCAACTTGCGCGGGGATGACCCTATTCTATTTCACAGTATTCCCGTACTGGTTGCCCCCACTCCCCCTCTATTCTCCCCCCCCCTCCTCAATCAACCCCCTTTCGCTCCTAAAACCGCGCTCAGCACGACTCATTTGGACCTCAACTCGGCCCAATTCTTGTTCCACTTCCCCAAGCCCAACCTTCAGATCTTCCTGGGGACATATCCGAGGACCCTCATCAAGACCGATAAGATTCCAGCCCCTAAAAGTCTCGGTCCTCTCCCTCTCCCTCTCCCTCTCCTTCTTCCTCCTCGCCCTTCCCCAGCTCATCCACCTCGACAAAACCGGGCTGGGCCACAGAGGCACAAACAGCCCGCGACGCCCGGGCGATGCCAGATCCCACCAACAGCATAACACACCGTGACTCCAACCCACCCCCAGAAACTGCGCCCCCCGCGCCAGCGACATCCCCCCAGTACTGCACATCCAGCTTAACATACGACCGATGCGCCGCCAGGAAATCATCCTTCGCGCCAGAACCACCACCCAGAAACCCCGCCCATCCAAGCGCACCATTCTCCCCCCTCAACACATCCGCCGCACGGCGAAACTCGGCCGCGAGCGTCTTCGTTGACGGCACCGACGCGGCGAGGGCGGTGTTGCGCGCGGGGGCAAAGTAGCCCAGCACGGCGAGGGGCTCGCGCGGGGTGCGGGTGTAGGGCAGGGCGTGGCGGTGGAAAAAGGGGTCGAAGGCGAGCTGGTGGGCCCAGTCGAAGGTGGCGTAGTGGGTGAAGAAGGTGGTGAGGAGGGTTTCGGGGGTTGGGGGCGTGGTGCGTGTGGGGGTGGTGGTGGTGGTGCGGGTGAGGAGTTTGTGCACGCGCGCGAGCAGGATGGAGATCTGGATGCCGCTGAGGAAGCCGAAGCGCGCGGCGTAGATGCCGCGCGATTTGGCCCAGGTCTTGATGGCGCGGTGGGCGAGGCGGAAGGTGGGCGGGTCGGGGAGGGAGCGCGCGAGGTAGTCGGTGTCACGCCAAGGGCTTTGAGCTTGGAGAGGGTGGGGATGGAGAGCGACCAGACGGGGTCGGTGGCGGGGGTGTGCAGGACGTCGGGCCAGCCCTCGGCGATGAGGGTGGCCGGGCAGTATTGCAGGTCTACCTTGATGCCGTCGACCTCGATCTCGAGCATGGTGCCGGTGTTGGCGCGGACCCGGCGGAGGATCCTGATGCCCTGGGAGGCGGCCTTGCGGAGGCGCTGGGTTGCCAGGGCGAAGAAGGTGTTGGTGCTGAAGGGGCCGATGCAAAGGACGTCGATGTCCGAGGTGGAAGTCCAGACGTCGAGGGCGTAGGAACCGACGGGGACAATGATGACCGCCGGTTGTGACCGTGCTGCTGCTGCGTCCGTTGAGGGCGCGTCAAGGATGACGCTCTTCAGGAGGTCCAGTGCCTTCTTCCGATTGACCACCTCGTCCGCGCTGGGAATGACCCCGAGTTCACGTAGAGATGCCTCCACGCTCCCCGATCCAGCCAAATGCTCTGGCGCCTTCTCCAGGTGGACAGGTACGATTAGGTTGGCAACCTTCTCAGACGGCTCATGGTCTTCAGCACCAATGTCTCCCATGTCTAGAGAACATCTGACGCCCCAATGGTCGCTGGCGAACATCTTCGAATCATCCCCTTGCTCTGTCAGGAAGCCAAACATGTTGAAATTGGTGATTTTCAGGAAGCCCTCGCCGCGAACAAGGATCCGGTCATATCGCTGAGGTCTCGTGTTGCCGCCCCCGGCTGCCATGGCGGCAGCCATACCGTTGGCGGTCGGATCCCAGGTGGCGCCTTGCTCCCCTTCCACCTCGCTGTCGTCAGCGTCGTTCTCAGTGGAGGTCTTCCAAGCATCAACTAGCTTCGCCTCGTCGAAAAGGCCATCCAGATTAGCCAGGTGACTGAGCGACAAGTCCGATATAGCCTTGTTCTTGAGTGCAGTGTTAATCGAAGACGGACGACGTCGTGACGTTGAAGTCGCCCGCCAGAATTCCATGGGTGCCCAGGGTAGTTCTCGGAGAGGTAGCCGATAACCCGTTTGATGTCTGTCTTTTTGGCCACCACCGCTCCATCGGCCCAGGCCGTGACTGAGGTGGACGGCCGCAACAACAACCCGGAAGGAACTTGTCGCCGTCGGACCGGCCGGCATGTTTGATCTTGGCGACCAGGGCGCCCTTGTGCTTCCGATGCAGGGAAACATACTCCCAGTCGAGGGGGGTCGCGCTCAACATGACAATGTTGAGGTAGCTCGGGAGTGGCTCGATGCCGTCCTCATGGGGAGGGCCGTGGGTGCAGAACGGATATGCTTCGCGGATCCACTTGTCGGAAAGGAGATACGACAGGAAGCCGTCGGTGACCTCCTGCAGCACCAGCACATCGGCGTGGGCATTCTCGGCAAGAATGTTATTCACCACGAGCGGATACCGGGCCTCGGAGGGCGGCCACTCAAACTCGGCGAGGACGTTGTAGCTAGCCACGACCAGCTTTGACGGCATGAACGGCGTCCACCGCTCCGGCTCTTCCCCAGCGCAATACAGCGGCGAAGTCTGAAGCTGATCCTTCTCAGCCATGCCCTCCACCTCGTCGGCTTCTCCATCCCCCGCCTCTTTCAACACACCCACATCCTTATAAAAGGGCGCCAGCCTCCCCAACCTTTCCACCTTCCCATCCTTGAGACTAATCCTCCCCCACAAGCGCATCACACTCCCACCCCGCCCATCCCGCTCCCTCACCAACACTGCCAGCTCGGCAGCCTGCCACTCCACCGGGGGCAGCAGACCAATCTTTCCCACCAAAAACCTATGCGCCGCACAATCCACATCCTCGCTCTGCGCCATGGTCAAATGCATCCGATACGACCTCCCCGTCGCCCCGCTCCCCCCAAGCGCAGCCAACACAATCTCCCTCAACCCCTTGACCCGCTCCCTTCTCGTCTCATCCGCATCCTCCAAAAAACACAGTACTCGCCTCCTCCCGCTTTCCGCTCAAACCCACTCAACTCGGTTCAAGACACACTTCCACCTCGGCTCTCTACTGATGACGATGCAGCAGCAGCAGCAGCAGAAGCAGCAGCGAGCGCGGCGCCCACAAGATCGGCCGCGTCGGGTGGGCGGTCGGGCCCGCACAAAGGGGTAGACCTGGTTGAGGTGGGGCGGCCATTTGGGGTAGGCGGCGTCGTAGAGGGCGCGCAGACGGTCGAGGCAGGGGTGGAGGGGGTGAGGGGGGAGGAGGGCGAGGGCGGTTTCGTGGGAGGTTAGGGAGAATGTGGATGTTTGTGATGGGGGTGGTGAGGGTGGTGATGGTGATGGTTCCGCCATGTTTGGGGGTTGTGTTGTGTGTGTTGTGCTATGTGTTGTTGTTGGGGTGAGGTGGGTGGGGGTTGGATGTTAGTTGGTTGAAGGGGCAAGTGTGAGTGAGAGATGAAGTGAATTAGTTAATATCTGAGATCAAATCTTCTGTAAAGGCAGTTAGACATCAATATGGATGATGAATGAAATAAAGGACTCAGATACACTGAAACTGATCTTAAATACGTGATATCTGAGATAGATGCCCCTTGGCTATGTTGCTGCTCACGACCCCTGAGAGCTGCGTTTCTTCCCCGCAAATAAGGCGATTGAGGCTGGGGCTGAGCTCGGCAGGGTGTCACAACCTGCATTGGCCGCTGCCAGGGCCTCTCCGCGTGACTCACGTTCGCTTTGAGACTCATCCTACCTTGAAATTCCTGACACATTGCTCCATTGAATGTCTTGGAGTTTGTGTAGGTAATGCAAGGGCAGGGCACTCTCGGTGCTAAATCCTAGAAGGGTGCAAAGTAAAACAAAGATCAAATGAAACCGAAGAAATTGCAGGCCCCAAAGCCGGGTTGTATTTGCACCGTGTATATTGCGCTAAACATGTACTGTGCCAAGCTTTCTGCATAGGTAGCTCCCTATCCAACCCCAACCCAAACATGAATAGACATTACCGCAGGTATCCAAATACCCACTCCAACACCAAAACTCCAACGCTATGAGCCCGCCTCAGAGAACCATCCTCAACAGGCGTAAAAGACCAGACCACACACCCAACCAGAGAGAGCCCCAACACCAGGAGTCGAGCCTAGTACTCGGGACCCCAGTCCACATCCACGGCACTCGCTGGCGTGCCCTCCATGAGCGCCTCGAGCTTGTCTTCATTGGTGACCCAGCCATTCCGTTTCGTAGCGATTGCTGTGC